TTAATCTTTCCTCAAACCACGATTTAACTTCTTCAACCTGCAAATATCAGGAAAAAGAATAACCTTCTATATAAACATCTAGAAGAGTAGATAAGCAGAAATGAAACAGAGGAAATATACTGACCTTCTTCTTGTGAACAGCAAGTTCTTCCAAGGAATGAGGTTTATACTTATCAACCCACAATTCCTTTACGTTGCTTCTTCCAGAACCTGGTATACAAATCTCTTTCCAGTTAGCATCACAACAGCACAAACAAATACAAGAATTAAAATAACGATGGTGGTGCAAGCAAAAGTAAAGTCCAACAATGTTCAAGTTCAAAGGGAACATCGACAAAGAATATTCCCAAAAAAAATTACAACCAAAGCTTTATGTATATATTAAATCCTCAAAGAAAAGGAGTGGCCACTCTCCGTAATTTTGCATGACATAGAAAATTTCATTCAACATAATAACAACACGAGCTAAAATGCTTGATAATAACAATCTACGCACAGAAAACCACAACCATGGCGTACCAGCAGATACCTTGGACCCAGAAAACAATTCTTCAAAATCTTCTTCAGGAAACCCAACCTGCATTAAAAATCAAAAAATAAATTCACAATACTCCGTAAAGAAATCACGGAATTAATTTACTCCACAACTTCAAGCACCTAATTTGTAAAATCAAGTTAAGTTTATGTGCTACATTTAATAAAAAAGAAAGAATTAAGTGGCTAATAAAACAAAATGAAGATATACATACCTCAAATAAATTAGGGGAGTCTCTGCTAAATCGAGACCGAGAACCTGAAACACGAGGCTTCTTTGGCTGTCTAGGGTTTGTACGAGTAATAAACGATCTAGATTTTGGATTCTTTGTATAGCTTCGATGTGAGTTCGGTTTGTAATCACAATCGTCTTCATCATCTGATGATAGAATCATCAGGTTAGTGTCTCTCATCTTCCTCATCCCCAAAAATATTTAGGGTTTTGTACGGGTAAATGTTGATTGTATTTGCTTCCTTTCGAGAGAGCAGAAGAGCGGGGCTTTTTTTCGCGGGTTTTTAATACATTGATGGGGGTGGGATTTGGTATCTGTTAAAGAGGAGTACAGGAGAAGCTATTGGTGAATACTGAATTTTTTACTATTTTATAGGGTTGCTCTCATGGCCCAAATAAGTTCCTCCGTAGGTTCAGGTTTTTGTATTGGAATTCTATAGCATATGATATTATATAAATTAATTAGAAAAGTACGTGAATGATCCATAAATATTTTTAAAATATTTTTTGAAAAATTTGATTTTTTAAAAAAAATATTTTAATATTATCATGCTATATTATTAATTTATTAAATGAGTTGGATCCAATCCAGCCATTTGAATTAAACCAAAATAAATCCTGTTTAGTTGAGTTAGGCCATTAAGGCCCAACAATCTTTTTCTTTCCTTTTCTTTTTAGGTTAAATATAACCTAATTATCTAAGCTGAGTTGAAATGAGCTCAATCCATGTTCACATATAAACTTTTTTGTCTTTTGCATTTAGAATCAATATTCTGCTTGCAAATGGCTCCCAAGTTTGCAGCCAAAGAAAAAGAGAAGAAGGTTAGTTATTGTAAAGGGTGGCTACCTGGTGGTGTTGAGAGGGCCAACATGTGTTTGGTGGTGGTGCTAGTGACAAAGATGCGGTAAAGGAAGAAGGAGAAGGTTGGCCGAGAGGGAAGGAAAAAATTAGGGGAAAAGGGTTAGTTTTTTTCCCAATTGTAGCCTCCAATTTCTTCATATATAATGCCTGAAATCTATCCCTATTTATAAGGGGTGGAAAAAGAATATTTTATCTTTATTTGGGACAAATCTTAACTCTTAACTTAAAACAGAAGAATCTCGATTATTGGTTCAAAGTTGTCATTATAGACTAAAAAAGTTGGCAGCTAAAGGCAGTCTAAATTGGTTTATTTAGGGCATTATTATGGTGTTTGTAGAGGCAGTTGGTCAATGAAACCTATTTAAAGTTGTAGTACAATGTCATGTCATCGTAGTGGTATATGATTTGCTTAGTTTAATGAGAAGAAAAAGGCATTAAATGTCCTTGAAAATTAACCACCCAAGCTTGTCTATTTTTTTTTATCTTTAAAATGATGTCGCTTTAGCTTTAGGGTTTTAATTTAAAGATTTAACTAAAGTTCAATGTAGTCCTTCAACTTTTGATTATTTTGATTTGTCTCTAATTGGCTTGAAACTTTTACTTTTATGCAATTTTTTCTTTGTCAAACTTCAACATCAGACCTGAATTTCAATGTCCTTTTCATTTTGATCCTTCGTATTGGATTTATGCAAATTAACCCTCAATTGACAATTAAACTTTTAATTCTTTTTAATTTCACTCTTGATTTCAATCACTTAATTCCTTAGAGTTTGATGTCTTTTTCAAAAAATCGTTGGCTATTAATTTCTTCAATTTAATCTTTCATTAACCCTAAATTTTGATTTCTTATAATTTCACCCCTGATTTCAACCTATAGACTTTGTAAAAATTAAGTTTGGTCCTTTAAAATTATAATATTCTTAATTAAACTTAAATTGGGTTTTCAAACTTAATTTTTCACCAATCAAGTCTCTGATAAAATTAATTTGACTCATTTAAAGTATAATTAAGTCATTGCACTTAATTAAATTCTTTAATTTGGCATAAATTAATTCTTAAACATAACTAAACTTTCAATTCAATCCATAATTAAATCAAATTGGCTAGTTAAAAATTTAATTATATCATTGGGTCTAATTTTTATGCAAATTCATCCAACAATCATTTAATGTAATCTTGAATTTGCATTGCCTTTCCAGTTTTGGGTATAATAGGGCACGATTAAGTTCTTAATTCTATCTAAAATTGCAGCTTAATTTTTTTATACATTTGACATCCTTTTTAATTTGCTTTTGCCAATTTGTCAGTCTTCTTGCTATTTTTATTTTTTATTTTTTTAAAAGAAAAATTTTAAGGGAAAAAAACAAAAATGAGTTATGACACTGTATTGTTGCAACCATCATTAAAATATTATTCATTACAATGATTGATATAACACTAGTAATAAAACTTGCATCAAGTTGATGGAGGTTTTTTCGTGCAAAGTTCTAAACACATGTGTGTATTCCTTTTAACTTTGTTGTCTCAAATGAATCTGACTTTTTATAATATCTCCCACGTAAATACCACTTATATTCTGATACTTACATATATTATAATTGAACAAATATAGATTTCGACTGTTGAACTCGGTATTCAACTGAGTGTGCAGTATGTCATCATTTAACAACATTAACCAATTGATTTTTACTACTAAATATTTGACCAACCTTCAAATTAGATCCACATAACATATGTCTATGATTAAATACTTAATCATATGAAACAATAAAACTAGATCTAAAAACATCTTTCAATTCAAGAACATGATGAGTAACATCATCAACACCACCACCACTATCATCATTAACATCATTTTTATTATCATCAGGCTCAAAATAGTCAAATCTATGTTGACAACCAAAAGAATTATTAAACATAGTATCATATATTATTTGCAGCAAATCATCTGACAATAAACTATTTTTACCATTACCAATTGAATTTGAAAGTCTAGCAAAAGTTGAGACACACATAGATTTTGATCGACTACTCACACGTAATGCCGTTGTTTTCAAACCACTTTGAATGAAATAATCATTCATTGTCGTAAAACTATCATTACACACAATCGATACAAGATAATACTGATATTTACTAATTTGACACTTTTATGTTATTTCAATATTAATATCTTATGCCATTATATGTGATATCATTGTTCTGTTCAAGAACAATATTGTCATCGTAATGATATAGCATAACTATGTTATTAGACATTATGTTAAAAACATTGGATTCTAATAAATTTAATGTAATTTTAACTAAATTGCATTACCTTAACTCTAATTGCAAAATTTATAGCAAATTCAATCAAACTCTCAAAATTTAACATTAAAACAGACTTTATAAAAAAATAAACATTATTCCTGATACATTATCAATTGATATTTTTATGCACAATTGCATTAAATCATATGCAAATTCATAGAAAATTAATATAATTCAAAGAAAATGTTAAATTCATCAATAATTCAATGGAACGTGTAATTTATCATAATTCAACTGCATTCATGCTCTATTGCATGAACGAGTATGCTTATTTAACTACATTATTAGTTGACTTCAACAATACACATAAAATCTTCAATTTAGTAACTTAACCTAAATCAACGCAATACATAATTAATTTAATTTATTTTCATGGTCAACTATATCAAATAAACCCTAATTGATTGTATTCTGAACTATTTTATCATTGATTCAACAAACTTTAAATTCATTTTAAATCCTAAATTCAACATAAACAATTATTTAATTTCAACCAGACCAAGTATAATTTAATAATAATGTAGTATGTTTACCTTATTTATAGGACTAGAAAAAGGGTTTGGGCAGCAACAATAATGACAGCGAAGGAAACAATGAATTTTTAATACAAAAACTTGAAATGATGTTTGAAGATTAAGATGAGTTTGATTTTTTATTATTTTAAAAAAAATCAAAGTGATTAATTAGGTTTATTTGGAAAGAAATTAAGGGTGTTAGTGATTTTATTTTACGAGAGAGAAACAATATTGGTATGTTATTGATATTTAATTTATTTATATTTTAATTAATGTTGTGTTCATAAAGCACACATCATCTTAAATTACCATGCTTTAAAAACATAATATATAGTTGATGTTGTGTTTAGAAATATAACATGTAATCATTACATTTCAAAAATATAACCGGGTAAAACTATACCATTTCATTAAAAAAAATTTCATTCCTCAAAATTTTAAATTTATAATGCTATTTCTTTTTTTTTTAAAAAAAAAAACATCACAATTAATTCAAATTATTAGACCTGGCATGTGACCATTTACAAGCCACAATCTCCAATCCACCAACCAACATCTCCTTTGGCCTTCGCCTACCTACCCTACTCCTGTCCTCTCTTCTCTCTCTCTTCAAACTCTTACCATGACTCACCAAACCCACACACTTTCACGAATCTGCACCCCCGCAAACCTCTCTCCCTCTCTAACCCAAACCCGGATCCGCATCCAAACTCATGACTTCCACGGCCAACACCATCTCCCTCTCCCTCTCCACCACCCACAACCCCTCGTCTCTCTCAAAACCCAAGTCCCTCCCCGATTTCTACCTCCGATTCCGTAACCAAAACCCAAAGTTAACCCGGGTCGGAATCTCTGTAACAAACCCGAACAACCGAATTAGAACTTTATCAACAATCCGTGCAAGTACAGCTTCAGTGATGGAAGCGAGTTCGAAAGAGAAATCTTTGCCCACAATAGTGGAAGTTGATTTGGGTAATCGGAGTTACCCGATTTATATTGGATCGGGGCTATTGGATCAACCCGAGTTGCTTCAAAGACATGTCCATGGGAAGAGAGTTCTTGTTGTTACTAACAGTACTGTGGCTCCTTTGTATCTTGATAAAGTTGTTGATGCTCTAACAAGAGGGAATCCTAATGTTTCTGTTGACAGTGTGATTCTACCTGATGGTGAAAAGTACAAGAATATGGTGAGTGTAATTCTTAAGAAACTTAAATAGGCGATTGGATATTGCAAGTAAATTTAAATCTTGTTGCATTGATGTGGACTGAGATTTAGCCGATAGGTAGAAGAAGGTAAAAACAAAAATCTTTTTTTAAAAAACTTTTAAGTACTTATGGTTGAATTCATTGAAATGCAGATGCGCAATGAGTAATTCTACTAGAATGTGTTTGACTGTGATTTAATCTTTTGCTAAGAAGAAAAGGAAAAATTTAATGAATTGGTTTTGAACTTTTGTTCCTGTATGTGTCTACATTTTTTTATGGTAGGTGGGATAAAGTTGAAATGTGTTTGTGTTTGTTTTTGTTTGATAGGAAACGCTTATGAAAGTGTTTGATAAAGCTATTGAGTCAAGGTTGGACAGGAGGTGTACGTTTGTTGCGCTTGGAGGTGGTGTGATTGGTGATATGTGTGGATTTGCAGCGGCATCTTTTCTTCGAGGGGTTAACTTTATTCAGATTCCTACAACTGTTATGGCACAGGTTGGCTTTTAATGTTTTAAGGTGTTTTTTTTTTTAACGGGTTATTTTGGATTGTGATGTGTTAAATGCGGATTACACTTGTTTTATTTTTTTGTTCTGAATTGTTTATTTCTTAGGTGGACTCTTCTGTTGGAGGCAAAACTGGGATTAACCACCCACTCGGGAAGAACTTGATCGGTGCATTTTATCAACCTCAATGTGTGTTGATAGATACTGACACGCTTAATACTTTGCCAGATAGGGAATTGGCATCAGGGCTTGCAGAGGTTATTAAATATGGGCTTATTAGAGATGCAGTGTTTTTTGAGTGGCAGGAGAAGAATATAGCAGCTTTGATGGCAAGGTATTCAATGCTTATCATAGAACATTGATTAGGTTTTGAGACCCCTGCAAGTTGAATTCTTGTGTTTGCACTAACAGGAATAACTTGACATGGAATTCAAACTATTGAGTCTAATTTTTGGTCTTAGGAATGCGTTTAATTAAATCTGAGCTGCCTTAGATATTGACTGTGCACCATCTGGATTGAATTTGATTATCTTTTGAGGTAATTAGAGTAAAAATGTTGCATCTCATGAGGCTTTAGTCTTGCGTGTTTTTATTTTTGGACTTTTCCAACTGCAGGGATCCAAGTGCCATGGCTTATGCCATCAAGCGTTCATGTGAAAATAAGGCTGAGGTTGTATCCTTGGATGAGAAGGAAAGTGGACTAAGGGCAACTTTGAACTTGGGTCACACATTTGGCCATGTAAGTTCTCGCTTGTGCTATTGACACATTTTGTTATTGCATATCTGATGCATGCTTATGTTTATGTTTGTGTGTGTGAGAGAGAGAGTGCATTACTCACATGCTGGGTGATAAGTGTGGTTTGTCAAATTATTAGTTTTGAGTCGTAAAGAAAGTTTCCAAGTTGCTGCATTGGTGTTGATTTGCAGCTCACTTATGAAATTGTGAACCTAATGCTAGACACCCAATCTATCTAGCAAATGTCTCGTTAGACTTTTTTAGTTTGTCCATGTAATAGTACTCTTTTCTCATCCTGTTTATGCTCTTTCTTTTGTGTTTGTGTGTGTTGGTGGGGGCGTGAGGGGTTTACAATCCATCCTTGGATTTAAACTGTAAGTTTTGCTTGTGAGCTTGCTGTCATATAGTGGTTCTCTATTATCATGAACTAGTTCGTTCATGTTGATGGCCAAAAAAGCCCTCACTTTTTAATGGTTTCCTGTGGGCCCCTTTTTTTTTGGCAGGCAATAGAAACAGGATTTGGGTACGGTGGGTGGCTCCATGGAGAAGCTGTAGCAGCTGGCATGGTATTGATTTTGCCTGACTGTTTTCTTATCTTCCACTATTATGCACCAATCTCTACTTCTATTTGCTCATGCTTATCTTGTTTGGGTGCTTGCATTCAGGTCATGGCTGTTGACATGTCATACCGCCTTGGTTGGATTGATGATCTGCTTGTGAAGCGTGTCCACAACATCTTACAACAGGCGAAGCTACCCACTGCTCCGCCAGATACCATCACCGTGGAAATGTTCAAGTCTGTGATGGCGGTGAGGGAGTTAAATGTCACTGTAAGGACAAGTTCAATTTGGTTTCTCTCATCACTAAAGTGTCTGTATTCTTATCCTTTGGCAGGTCGATAAGAAGGTAGCAGATGGGTTGCTAAGGCTAATCCTTTTGAAAGGTTCCCTGGGTAATTGTGTGTTCACCGGTGATTATGATAGGAAGGCACTCGATGAAACACTTCGTGCATTTTGCAAATCATGATTCCCGTTCTCGCTGGGTTCTGGGCCCAGCTGCATATGATTGATGTACCACCAGATGTGACGTGTATTTTAAAGGGCTTGCCTGTATGCTTTACCGTGGTGGCCGTAGACGGCAGACTGACAAGTTGTAATATTAGAAATTTGTCACCAAGCAATAAAGCTGATTCTTATTTTCTTTCCTTTACCTTCTTTTTTGGTCCTCGCCCGGATTAACCACAGAGAAGATCATGCCTTGTATTTAGAAGACTTAAAACGGGCAGCAAGGCTAACCTGCAAGTGAAAACATGAGGTGACTTGAAGGAGGTCAATCAAATTACTTAACCCAGCAAGGTTTTCAATGAAAGTGTTCAAGGAGTGTTAGAAACACCTGGGATGTAAAGAGCTTCAAGCCTTGCTGGTCACTGCGTTTGGTTTGGTGAACCACTGTGGTGTTGACCTGGCACTGGTGACGTCCATGTTAGCGGCCATTAATGAGCAAATGTTGGCGGCCGCTGTAAACTAGTAGTGAACTATCCTTTTGCCATCCTAATGTCGTAACCTCCGTGCATGAATGTCTTCGCAAATCACTTGGTGGATGGGGAATGTTTGACATCAGAAAATTACGTAAAATCCCGTGAAGTCATGCTTCGAGGACTTTGTCACATTAACAAACAAATGAACTCTATAAAAAAAAAAAAACTATTTTACACCTCAATACCAGTTTTAACGAGTTTTTGGTCAAGAATAAAACAATCAATTCAGTGCTATAATCTATAGTGAATTTAGACATATGTACAGATGATTTTCCTCGGGTTTGAGGTTTTTGTAATGTTGAAAGAAATGAAAAGAAAAAAGAATGCAAGTATTTTACAGGGATGGAGTGCCTGCTGTCATCACCTCCTGTTATCTGCAACAAGTTTCAGATAGGGTATCACTACGAGCTACATTTATTCACTAGGCCTGTATCAGTATCCATTTCTCCTCCTCCTCCTCCTCCTCCTCCTCTCTCTCTTCTGTTCTCGAGGCAATCCTTGAAACATTTACAGCGTGACTAGAGACATGCAAGACCTCACGATATTGCGAGGTCATTTTTTTAAAATCATCTTTATTAGATTTTGTGGTAATTAGAATGCATATTTACAGGAATTTCAACCATTTAAATTCTCGAAAAAAATGTATTTTTTAGTCAATTTTTTTTATTCATGCATCTATTTTTTTATTTTGAAAAATAGATTCTATAAGCAGCATGGTTTATTAAATAAAGAGTTATCACTATTAAAATAAACATTTTAAATCATTTAAATTAAAGAGTAAAAAATGTGTTTCTTTCGCCAAAACCCCCTTTTTTATTCATGTATTTTATTTTAATAAAAAAATTGTGTTTTTTTATTAAAAGCATGGTTTTTTAAATAAAACTCATCATTATTTAAGAAGAAACATTCAATCAATATATATATATATATATATATATATATATGTTGATAGTTTCCATGCAATAATATGAAAAAAAAAATAAAAGAATAGTTAATTTTAAAATTTTTTATAAAAATTTACATTGAGAAATAATAAAATAATTTTTTTATTCTTATTGAATATTCATGAGCAACTTTTTTTAAAAATAAAAAATGTATATAATTTTTTTTTTGAAAGTAGTCGCTAATATTATTATAAAAATCTCTCATCTTATTTGAAAAAATATGAGATAATTGGATAATTTTTTTGAATGTTAGTGTATTAATTTTATTTATTATGCAGAGTTCTTGTTTGGCCGGTATGGACCTTAGTTCACCCTCCCTGAATCCATGGAGCCAGAACAGAGCTCTTGTATGGCAGGTAATCTCAAAACCATGTACTTTACTGATTCTTCCTCTCTGTTTTTTTTTTGGACAATGAGATCTACGTTATTATCCGCTAGACTTCTGGCATATAATTGTCTCAGAAATATTCTTTGACCTTGTGATCCAAAGATTGTAATCAACAAATATTCTTTTTTTGTGACTGCAGGGTGGTCGCACAATTCTCGTCTAGCTTGATTACATTCTTACACTACGTATCATCACACAGGCTGGTACTTTTCTCAGATCTCTCCATCTTCTTGACTTATCGTGCTTCCCAATATTTCGATGTCTCGGTTACGCATAGGTTGGTTGCAGAAGGGTGCAAGATTCAAGAAAGCTGTAGTATCTAAAAATGTAAGGAAAACACTACATGGTTGGTAAGGGATGGTGATTGGTGGAGGCCAGGAATAGTTCTTCTGCTTCAAACCTTCTGGCTGTTCATCAACTACATCCTTGGATTCTTCTATGTATGTCAGATGGCGATACCAAATTAAGGGTTCTAGCTTGCATGCAGCATCAAGATCAGGCCTCTGTTTCACAAGCTATAACTTGTCTCTAATGAAACAATGGATCTCTTGCGTTCAATTCTACTCTGAACTAAATTCCTATTTCAAGTACGTGAATGAGTGGATGGTAGGTGAGAAAAATCACTGCTGAAAGCATCAAATTGTTAAAAAAAATTAGAATATAGCAAGGCTGTAGACAGCAGTTAATTAATGAAACAGGAATCACCATGCCTCAAATTGTTTAGGCCTGTGCAAAGCCGAAAGAACACGATTTTCTTGCTATTGCTTGCGGTACAGTTACCATCAGTGTAACTAATTCCACAAGCACCAGATAAGATGGATTGGCATAGCTTGCAAAGCCTCCACAATTTCTTTGCGGCCGGTTTCACGTCATCTACAATTGTGCCCATCACAGTATGGTCAAAGAAATGAATGTGAAAGAACAGAAGGTTGTCCTAAAATGGGAGAGATCTTGTTTTCTCTCTCTTAAAATATAGTGAAATTAAACTCAATGAAGCAGAATGAATTAAGCAGCAAATAGGAGAGGCGTAAGAGCACATGTCGGAGATGTTGACAAGTTTTTCATTGTTGTTTGCTAATACTGGCGATTGGGATCATAACTAAAGTCAATAACTGAAATTCGGAATTGGCGGGGCAGTGATTTTCTCATTTAGTTGGTACAAAAGTAGAAGGTGAAGTTAAAAAAGAAATTATTAAAGCCATTGTTGGCATTTTGCTTACGCATCCCGGTCATCTAAATTAAGAGATTATGAATAATTTTCATCGGTGATGATATATTTCAAAAGGGTTGGGAATGGCCCTCGGTTTTGTGGACCACAAGAAGAGGAATGATGCTACTCAAACCACCTGAAAATGAAGACTTGTGGTTCTTGAAGGACTCCTGCACAACTGCTCTAACAAAGCAATTTGGTGAAAACTGAAAATGACAAAGAGTATCAGTTGTGATGAAGTAGGTTAAGAGGCTGGATAACTCTTAGTGATAATATATACAATTAAACTGTTCATGTCATTAACTGCCACACACTTAAGCCAATTTTAGTCTTGAATCCACCAACTCTCTCTCAATAAAGAAAAAGCTATTACAAGACGCCTAATTGATAATGTAACTGTCAAGATTCATGCATCGCAGACTCGAACTGTCAGAAACATGTGTCCCGTTACAAGACGCCTAATTGATAAACTCACTCTGGTTGAGATTAAGATGTTGATTTTATCACTAACGAACGCTGTATCGGGTTATGCAGAAAGTCTGTGGCCACATCAACATAAAAAAAAAAAAAAAGAAAGAAAGAAAAAGAAAGAGAGAGATTATGAGTTGAGGGATAGGACTATTAGGAAGTATAGGATCGAAGGAATCTCAAAAATTGAGAAATTACTACATGTATCCTCGAAAGTGGGTGGTGTAAGGACACCATACATTATCTTTTATATTATTATTGCAGGGAGCAAGTAATCAGAAGTATATCGTACATAGTTTCTTAAGGGGGTGATATTGATAAAAAAAAGAAAAAAGCGAAGTAGTTAATGTCCGAAATTAATTCCATTCTATTATTTCTTCATGTAATGAGTGGCATACCTTACGTACGAGGATAGGTAAGAGAGAGTTCCGTTTTTTAATGCGTATTTTTCTAAGGAGAAAAGGAAAGGAATGCACCGAAAGAATCGGGAGGACAGGTTTTTGTTTGTTTTTTGTAGCATTTGTTGAGTTGGCCAAGATTTTGGTTTATCTCCTCCTCCTCCTCCTCGCCTTCTCAACTTATGAACGCTTCAACTGCATAATTTCTCGGCCACCTAAACATTCCCTCTCATATCACTTTTTTCTCCCTTGTCTTTTGGTAACCCATCCATCCATCAAAACAAAAGAAAAGCTCTTTCGGTCTCTTCATTTCATCTTCTTGTACGTGTTTTGGTTTTACGCTTTTGGGTTTCTTTCTTCTTCTTAATGAACTGATGGTGATGGCGTGGAGGTGCTGGGATTTGTGTGTGTGATCAGGAGGAAGAGGGTGTTTTGTCCTCAGGTGGTGAAGATCTGAGGCTTTTGCTTCTCTTTTAAAGATATTTTAAGATTTTCCATAATCAATCAAAAAAGAAAGAGAAATGAGTGCATCAAGGTTTATAAAGTGTGTGACGGTAGGAGATGGAGCTGTTGGTAAAACTTGTCTCTTGATTTCATACACCAGCAACACCTTCCCTACGGTAATTCAAATCCCCCCTTTCTATTTCTCTGTGTCTTTTGTGTCTCTCTCTTCTTCTTTTTTAATTTCTGTGAAAAATTGGGATGTGGGTTCTTGAGTTCTGGTGGAAATGATAAATGGGTTTCGTTTTGTTTCTATTTTCATTGTAAGTGTGATGCTGAATTGGGATGTGGGTTTTCTGAATTTTGGTGGAATGGAATCCATTTCATTTCCATTTAAGGGTAATGTTTTGATTCATTTTGCTGATGAACAATCATGGGAGATTAAGATCACTGTAGTGTTGCTGCTCTGTTTCCAATAATGGATTGATCAAAGCTGGATCTTCTAAAAAAGGTGTTATGATTATTATTATGGAAGTTTTGATTTGTCAATAAAGAAATGGGGTTATCTATCCAAATTATTCTTCTTATTTTTCTTCTCCATTTCACGTGGCACAAAATTCTGTTCTTTTGGTTTTATTTTCATGGGATTCAATCAAACCCTTTGCAAGTGGGTATTATTGAATGTAATGCAATTGCCGTATTTTCTCTGCGTTGTTGTGATAAACAGGATTATGTGCCAACGGTTTTTGACAATTTCAGTGCAAATGTGGTCGTCAATGGTGCTACTGTTAACCTGGGGTTGTGGGATACAGCTGGTAAATCT